TTGAAGATGTTTAATACCTGGACCTCAGAGGCCCTGAATGCTTTGGATGTTTTGCAACGCAAAACAATTTCCACCAATTTCTCGAACAAAAGAACAAACACATCTTGGCTCTTAGCCCTGCAAGCTCTCTTGTCTTCTACCTACAAAAATACCGTTCTGGGGACACCTTGCGTGGGTGCTGTTCCAAAACGGCTTCAGCTTGGAAGCAAACAACCAGATGTTGCTCGTTTTTGAAGATATGATTATAATGTCCAGCCACAGTTTCTGGTGTGACAGCAATTTCTTGGGGGTTCTTGGGGCAGCATATATATATATCATAGAGGTCAGTCCTAAACTGGGGTAACTCGAAGAAAGGGTTGAACAGTTGTCCAAACGAACAAAAGAACCAAACATTACATAAATGAAGCAAACCCACTTCAACTATTACACAACCGCTTCAAAAGAATCGAGTAATAATAGTACATCAACTAAACCAAACTAAACTAAACCAAAGTACATCAACCAATACATCACAATCAACTGTATACAGGTCGAAGGTCGAAAAAACGGCACACATCACCCAGATCCTCCGAAAAAGAACGGTCGCCCGGTCGTCCTCCTCCCTGAGGTCTCGGAACACGTCGCTCGGATCCAACCAGATGCCAACGAGCCCGATAAGCGCGGGTTCCTGGCGGGTCTGATGTGCAAAGAATCAATCAATGGGTCAGACAACTGATGTGGGAGGCATGGGAGTTTCAAGTACCAACAAAAAGATAAATAAGTCGGGGAGGCATGTTGATGCTAAGTATGATAGGCTAGGCTATATCTATATTGACCTGAATTACACCGGATCACAGTAGAGGAAGATGATGTTTTCCTTCGCAGCCGACAAGGCCATGATTGCGGAACTGAAACAAGCTGAAATGAAAAGCTCAACAACAAGCTTATGTCGTGGACATACATGTCATGGTCATCTTTTGAGTTGGGCCGCTAAGAGGAGTGCCCCACAGCACGCGACACGTTTGTGCGGCGGTAGAAGTCGTCGAAGCTTGGCACGCTCCGACTCGGCCAGTTTATGCCACGCTGGCGTCAACTGGGGTGACTTGGCGCATGGATTTCCACGAGACGAGGGACGTTGCGCCGGTGTGGCGGGGGTGGCGCCATGGGGGGGCTTGTCGGTGTCATTGAGAGAGCTTGCCAAGTTGGAGACACAAGGATTTCAATTTGACTGACTGATGTAGATATGATTATATATACCCGATGGTCGGTTGGAAACTGGCACATGCCACCAATTTGAGTTGGAGATAAAGACTGGATCACCATTTCTATCGAGTCTTCCAATTTCCCAATGGCACGTCATTGTTAGAATTGGCCGCAGTCCGGTCTTGTTTGTAGCAGCCTTTTTCAGTTCATTCATGAATGTTACACAATTTTACAATATTTTACCATTGTTTTGCTTTGGTTTTGCACGGGCTGTCTTTAGATGTGTTGCCTATTTTGTACCTTTACCCGGTGGTTGCTGATACTTTTGGAGCATGCACTCCCAGTCTCAATGGACCTGCTGGACTGCCAACCAAGTGGTGTCGTACTTGACCCGTCCTTTCTACTAGCGCGATGGTCACTGGTTGCGGTTGCATGATTTCGTCAACTGATTTGTTTCCCACTGGATGTTCCTGCGCGAAACTCAAATTTCTGCCACAACAACTCGAGGCTTCCATGGGGTCTTGTACCGTACGGAGCACCTGGGGCGTATCCAGGCGGGGTGTGTTCTCGTTTTTCGTCTTTTGGACTCCTGCGTGTGGAGTCTCGGATGCCACCGGAAGACCGCATAGTCATTGATTCAGGCTTTGGTTTGATAACACCTCGCATATAAAGAGGTGTACAATCCATGTCTGGGAGGGATATTCATCAGCAGTGTACATGTCTACATTGGATGTTTTGACCCGCTAGAATCATCAAATGAGTGTGGGTTTACCCGAAGAGGGTGTTTGGGGCTAAGTACAAAAACGGGTGCCTGAAACTAATGACAAGACTTGTAAGGGTTCTTGGAGGAGACAGTACAACAAGTGCTGTAGGCCGTAGATGGACCCTGATCCGGTGAAGCAGAGCTATCTAGCGTCTCAGTTCGTACCTCGAAAAGTGCGTGCACTCGCAAACGTTTTTTTTTTTTTTCTGGGGGGGTGCTGACTTGAACCCATACGGAGGTTTCCCAACAATATGGGAGAGTTGAATCTGAATAGTATATTGTTCAAACTATGCCCAAATTCTGCCAGTTCATCCATAAAACTAGCCAAATTGCATCAAATGGCATAAAATGTTATATGTTTGGAAGATCTTTAGGTATATGATCCATATTGATGATTTTTTGACATCTGGCTTGCCAAATGCTTGATTCGGCGTCTGGGACCTGAACAAAGACCAATGTCTCATTTGCTTGGACCAACCTGAGCTGCAGGACATGTGGAAGAAGCGAGTCTTTAATCCAGAGACGCCGCATTGCTTAGCCTCCTGACTGAAGGGATAGTGTATTGTTCATATGTTTTCCTTTTCCCATGGGCATCTTTCTTTGGCATTTGGATCATACTGGACACAATCCACCACATGTCCCAACACTCTATCTAGTGAACTACCATTTTTCTTAAGTTTAAGATGTTCCTATGGCGGTGGCTCCTCGATCCAAAGATGCTTTGGTCATGTCTGGTAAGTTCCACATGTTGATTTTTTGGGGGCACCTTTGTGTTTCAATCCCGGCCCGTGCAGCCCGTGCTCACCTATCATTTCTCTCTGGGCTGGGGGAGATAGATCGGCACGTGCATGGAGTGGTGACCGTCCATCCACCAGGGTGTGCGTGGAAGGACTGACCAGACTGACCCATGAACGTTGATCCAACGCATGAAGAACATGTGTGTTCATACCTGGACCTTCCACGAGGTTGTGGGGAGTTTATCTTCCACACACCATGTTGAATCTATTTGAAATCAGTTGAATTATATATATGTACACGCTAGGGATCCAGTCGTACCTTCTCAGGTACGGTGATTGGAGACTATTTATGTAGGCGCCAGGAGGGCCCAGTCGTACCTAACCTGAGAAGGTGGCAGTGGATCCCTAGGGATAGGAAATTGGTTTTGGTCCAACGACAGAATTTGGATCTCACCGGAACGGCCGCTCACCACGGCTACGGGTTCGGTGGCGCCACCGAGCTCGAGCGGAACCCTAAGGACATCGACGTTCGGGGGCCCGGGACGTCGCCGAGCGGAAGCCCGGGAGCCGGCCCCAGTTGATTGAATTCCACAGGAACTAGTTGGACATATAATAGTTATTTATATTACGGTACCCCTAATTAGCTATATGGCACCCCCTCCAAAGATCTACCTATATTATAACGCATTAGGATTGATGATTAGAAATGAGATCATTACTTTTTCAGGATGTTGAACTTATATATTCTATATATGTGTCCAACGCAAACCGGAGTTCAAAGGGTCGAAGCTGAGAATCGCCCGTTCAAGCACCGTGGAAACCAGCCGAAGCGCCGTTTTCACTGGTTCAATTGGTCCGACTGAGCGTTTGAAAAGAAGAAGAGTCCAGATGCCATGGAAGTCCTTCGATTCCGGCCCAAGTCTTGTCTGCGTCGCTCTCCGAGTTGTCTTTTCGATAGATCGCAACATGTTAAGATCATTTAAGTCACAATGTCACAAGTGAGTGTTAGCAGATGGTAGCTGTGTTCAAGCTCTTTGCAGACAGCACATTTGGTATATATATATATACATGTTTTTATCATAAGCAATGCTCACCTTCGTTTCGATCCGTGGACATATATATATATATATATATTCATATCATACAAAGGTTCCAGCCGAACCCCCTTCAATCGCCGTGGATGTGGCCTGACCCCTCTGCAGAAAGCTGGTGGGCTTGGGCTGGTCAAATTCACAAGTGCATACAAGAACTAGTGGCTTGAATTAAATTTCCCAAGAGTCGTATAAAGGCCCTAGTCAAAAGCCCTAGTTGTTCGGTTATTCGCCTATGAAATCACTGGTCGTTGGAACCCTGGTCGGTTGGCCGGGGAGTTCTTTGACCCCTGTTTTTTGCAGAAAGTGATGTCCCAAACGGACCCTGTCGGCCGAGAGTTCTGAGAAATGTGGTTTACAAATGTTTACAATGTATAGCGAAGTACAGCGACCTTCATAATACGCCTCTAGTACCTGTACTGATATAATCTGATATATATATATATATAGACAACAGAATGTTGTGTTTGGTCAGGCCCAACGTCTTCGCAGTGGTTCATACCCAACGTCTTCGCCATCACATGTCACCGAATGTAGCACCGCACGATACACACAGGTCGCACTGGCAAGTATCTCCGACAAGGTGGGCTCAGATGGAGCATGATGGGTTTTACGATGAGACAGTGCCACCAGATGGAGCTGTTGGTGACCCTTGAAAAGGATCTTTTGGAGCAGTTGGTGACATTTGCAGCTACTTGTAGTGACATTGGTGGCAGATGGTTGCAGTATGTGACGTTTGATATTCCTGGAGGGAGTTTCAATCTAAAACATGATGAAGTCATCATCTTCGCCAGGCTTTCAAGTGCTTCAACTAGCAGCCTCGGTGAAGTCCCGAAGTGTTCAACTCACATGGGTCGTCAGGTCCCTTTCAGGCCCAGGGTTTTGTGCGTGTGTTTCTTCATGTTCATCTACAGCCAGGTCAGTAGCCAGTGTCTTTTCCGCTGCCGTCGCCAAGCATCGGCCGAACACAGATTTGCCAGTGACAGTCATTCACAAGTTGACCAAACATATCACGGCATTTCTGGGCCACAGATCCAGACAAGTGGGCAAAGGCACAAAGGCAGCCACGGTGATGCTCGGTGTATCTTCTATAACTCTTCCAAACGCCGAGACACAAGATCTGTTGCTTCAAAAGATGGAACAAAAATAAGTCCAGCTCTTCCAAACGCCGAGACATAGGATTTCTTTATTTAAAAACATGATCGTTTCAGCCACTCAGACTCAGCTGTTTTTTTTGACGTCGCAGCCACTCCGCATCGTTACCATGGCGCTGTGTGCGACCTTGACGACCGAGCCCCTGGCGGTGCTTCCTGCGGCAGAGGACGAGCCGTCAGAGTGGGAACCGGCGTTGGTTCCCACAGTACGGTGACATAGGGAAAAGCCGTGAAACGCATTTCTTCAGCCGTGAAAAGCCCGTTTGTCTTGGTGTTAGGCGACGTGTTTTCCTGTACTGTTTGTTCCCTGCACTTCAGTGACAGACCCTGTTTCAGGCCAGCCAACTTCTCAACGTACGGTGGGACTTACCTCGGATCCAAAAGGCCATTCTTTGTGAACTTTCCAGGGCTGGGGGACTTGACGCAGCTCTCTGGTGTAGAGATTGGGTTCAGAGGTTCAGGTAGCTGCCATCACTTTTTTTCAGGAGCTTTGGAATGTACCCGAAATCCGAGCGAGTGACATCGGTCACAGTACATGAGCTTTATAAGGACCATCGAGTCCATGACATGTGCCAAACCCAACGCATAGACCGGGTCCTTAGGACGCCCGAGTTTTCAGCTGCTGCGGGGCCGCATAAGCATGCATAGGCTTACTTACGTTGCTTTGTTTGTAAACCCGGTATATCTTGAGGCTATGGGGGTACTGAATGTGCCATCTATGTTGATATCGCCTCAAGACGCCACTTTTTGCGCCCCGGACCCGAGGCCCGAACCCTATAAAAACTACGTAGTACGTGTTTTTTGTTCTTTTACATCGCCAAGATAGAATCTGGCCCCATCCAACCGCACAAAACACTGTAAAGCACGATGTTTTTAGAACGTCGCGCGCCAAAAAAAAACACTGTAAACCACGGTAGCTTAGGTATCCTCCACGCGGGCAATGAGACAGGATTGCCATGTTGCCGACGGAAAAACTGCCCTTGCATGGTGGATACGCCTTGAAATGCCATGATGGAAACGTATCGATTTAGAGCAATTTTTCTAGGATTCTAGGGCTTGGCTGCTGGAATAAGGCACTCCTCGCTCTGGTTCCACATGACCCTTCAGTGACATCAAAGCAGCACAGCGATCCAAGAGTTCTGATCGCGCTTGCGATCCAACCCATGAGGATGAAAAAGGGTTCCCCTGCGTTGAAGCAGGAGCTTTGGCGTGCGCTTCACGCACCTCTTCAACTGAAATGGGAGGCGCACCTCTTCACCGGAAAAACGGTCGCGTTTCTTTCCGTTCGGGACGGACTGGTGTTTGGACGCATGCCAGGTGCCTTTGGAGGGAGGCTTCCAAGCTGCCTTGGTGGCGACGATGGCTCAGGCGCGGCCATGGGTGGATGATTTGAAGAAAACCATCCAAGGGGAGAACACTCATGTTCAAACAACAACAGTTTATGTTTTGTTATTGTTTGCTTAATTTTTTGCACTTAGCAGTGCAGCGAATGCTTGCGGACAGGCAGCATGTTGACAGTTGGCCCAAAGTCAGTACACTCCTAGGGTCATGCAAAGATTTGTCTAGAGTCGACTTGACACTTGTCCATGACCCAATGGAGGGACAACACCTCCCGTACACATACATTCCTGCACGACAGACAAGCATTACGACCAGTTCATTATGTGCAGCATCAAATATTGAACAAAAGCAACAAAGGTCACAGAGGGTTTTAGCGCCCTCCAATTGACACCTCTGTGGACCTGCTGGTAAAGTTATTGTTCAAACGTTTGGCCCATACTCTATAAAACATGATTGTTAATTATTTTCGAAGCCACCGTTTGGCAAGATTTATGGTTTTTTCGCAATGTTTACCACGCCAGGGCACTGCTCCGTGGCCCCCTGCCCGGGTGCAATTGGAGCTTAGTTCGGGCGGCGAGGTGGGGTCCTTGTCGTTGCGGAAGGGATGGTTGGGATGCTTATTTTGCGGGGTAAGGAAATTTTGACGGAGTTCAGCGGCCTTTCTATACCAGAAATTGGGTCAACTTTGGACCGCCGGCAATAGGCAATATTTAATTCATTCTACCCTCCCTCCAAGACTTGTGGAAGTGAACAATGACCCTTGGGAGACCATGCTTTTCTACAAACAGGGGATTGTCCACGAAACCCTGTTTGTTGGAGGGAACATCCTTGAGATGCAAAGAAACCGTGTTTTTTTCCATGTTTCTGCTTGGCAGGGTTCTTGGAGCTGAGCTTGCGGGGGCACGCACCTGACGGTAGCTCTTGTTTGAAGATGTTTGTGGATTAGTGTAGTTGTGGAAAATAGATGACCACAAGACGACATGACAAGGGGTACATGTTTGATCTCATCCCAAAGCAGTGATTGAAGCATGTTGGCCTTGTTGATGGAGAACACATGTGGGCATTTTCCATTGTTGCCGTACCTATTTTGGGATGCCAGTTTGGAAGTACAATGTGTTGTCAGTGTTGCTTCCTTTGCTTTGTCCTCTTGTATATTATTTTTCTATATTTTGTTTATGTTTATGTCTGATGTATAGGTGTACATGTTCTTTGAGAGTATGCGCCTGTTCTCGGTTTCCAGTCCTTTCCTTTGCATCTCCGAAGAAAAGTCCCATCGCAACTCCACATCGCCTTCCAAAGGCAAAGGCCTTGGAATTGCAGGCACGGTAGGACGGAGTATGGAACCGCTGGACGGGGTGTTTGTTGTTTTTGTTATTTTTTTCTCGGAGCGAAAATGGGATCCACGTTTGATTTTTGCCATCATCTTCATTCGCAAAATTTCAAAAGGTCTGTATCCTGGGTTTTGCTTTGGTCATATTGAGGTTCCACACCTCAGCCAAAGGGACAACTCATATAGTCTTTCAGCACATTTCTTTGTGCCTCTGTGCAGTGCTTAAAGTCTTCACCGCCGGGTTGGGTCTTTGAATGCTGTGCTCGACAATTGCAGAATGGACATTCTCGAACTCGTGGGCAGATTGACTTAACCAGCGTATGGTTTTGGATCGAGGTGTCGTTTGTCGTTTGGTCCACACCACCGACCTGGTCGGCGGTGATCTACGGCGGATTCGCAAGCTCGATCGTGTTGGTAGCTACTGGTGTCAATCTTCCTGTGAGCCTTATATCCATTTCCGCCACCACAAGGCAAGCCAAGCACAGGCATGTTGCGCGTTTTTGAATCCACTTCTTTCCGAGTCCAATCCTCCCGGCTCGCCCTGTTCGCACAGGTTCCCTCCAACGCCTCCGTGACACAAGTGGCTCAGCTCCTGACCGCCAGCTGTACGCTCCAAGGCGCGCAAGATGATGGTAGTGGTGATGGTGGATGTTCCCCGGGGAAATGTTGTTCCAGGATCCTCATATAGTTATAACCCAGACACTCCATGGGACTGCCTACATTGGGGTGGTTGACTGGGGGTCAATGGGGCGGCATATATGGCAGTCCCATTAGTCGTGTTTGGGTAATGAGGCAAAATCGGCAAAGCTGACTTTGCAAAATTATAACATTGATGTGATTGGTTTTTAGAACTCTGAAGTCTTTCATCGACATTGAGTCGAGCATGGGCCCAACTTCAGGTTTTGAGTAGTGTGGACTAATTGGCCACTTGGCTGAGTCGAACAAAACAATTTTGGGAACATCAAAATGTGTCTTTGCCAGTCAAAGTCCGTGTTGTACTGGAGTTTATTATACTGAACACGCTACTCAATGAGGTAAAGGACCAGGTATCCGGGTTTGATTGCACTATGACACCTGTTTCACTCATTGAGATGAGGAGGACCTTCCGTCTACAGGATTGATTGCCACAGGAAGTTGTGTATTCCCTACATGCAACATCATCCAACATGCCCATGTTTGACCTGGCCATCCAGTCATTGAACGTCCAAAAGATCACCTCATCCGCATCCTAGTTTGGAGCTGCAGAACTGCCCAAGTCCTGAAGATATCTGAAGATTTGAGTACTCCAGTTCAAATCCCTGAAGTCGTCAAATCTCTTAATCAGGTCTCTTAAGGCTGATGCATGTGGTCCCCAAGCCAGAGCCACAAGCGCCAAGAGCCCCAAGCCGCATATTTGCCTTGTTAAATCACATGTTTCGACTGCGCGTCAGGCAATTTATTTGGACAAACAGTGGCTTGGCGAAGAAGCAACGACTCTGAATGTAGCTGTGAAGAGACTAGGAACAGCTCCTGCCACAGATGCTTTTGGCACAAGAAGTGGTAGATCCAATCGTTCCAACAAATTGCCCACACTGAGACTTGGACATACAAGCGTTGTGCTCACGGGGTTTAAAAAAAACACGGTGATGGCCACAATGCTTGTGTTTATTTCTCCATCACTGGTGTGGTTTTCACTTGATGAGGATACGCCTTCAGATGGCATGCTGAAAAAGCAGAAGAAGGATCCACTCCTTGAAGATGTTGATGTGATTGATCAATGCCAGGACTGATTCCTGGGTCTCCCCGCACCATCGCTTTCAGTTTGCCATCCCCGTTTTTTTGTGAATCTCGTCTTGTCCCGATGTCCAGCGTTCAGAGCGCTCCCCGTTCGGCCTTCAGACTGAGACCCTGAGACTGCCAGTGTGAAGTATGCCATACCAAACGAAGATCCTTTCGGCTGAAAAGATCAGGACTGAGGCATGAATTGTTGCATCAGGTGCTTCTAGGTATTTTGGTGTTTTAGCTGTTCGTTTTTTGGTTGATACCTGGAAGGCTTGGGAGGGCCACCCTCGTGAGAGGCCTTTCTGCCAGGCTTCAACTTAAGGACGTTTGATGTTTGATGTTTCAACTAAGGACACGGACCACGACTGACCTCGATCACAGTGAACGATCTAACATGGCTTTGGGAGTTTGCTTCAACAAAGACACGGACCAAGTGACCCCTTGGAGGGTCGAGGGGTGTATGAAATCGTCATGCAGTGAAGCTCACTGCCTGTTTGGTCATCGGACAGTGGTCGTCCTTTGAATTTTATGTAATCAATGGTTGTATGGCCTCTTAGAGGTTAAGGGGTGTCAAACCTCTTGGAAAGTTCTGGTATATATCGATGTCTTATTCTTCCGCCACTTCGCTTCAGGAGCGCAAGATCGCGCAACTGCAGAGCCTGGATCAATGGCACGATGGGGTTTGTGGCCATCATGCACTCTTCAACTTGCGAAGCTGGGCTGCAAGGGAGACACGCGAAGCTTGCCTGCTCCAGTAGCAACGGGACAAAATTGAAAAAACAAAAACATGGTTGAACACTCAACACAAAACATGGAGAAGTCTTTCTATCAAACGTATGAACCCGTGCGTACCTAGATGTGGTTTTCAACATGAAAACAGCAGCCTGCGCCTGCCTGTGCCTCAATTCGCTGCAACTGAAATTTATTTGAGGTCAAGTTGAGGTTGTGCCCAATTGAACCCCCTGCCGCGGTTTTGTGGTCAGAGTGAGTGCTCCAGTGTGTGTTTTGTCCGTCCTTCAACTGCGTAGGCTGCCTGCTACGAGATGAGCTGGATTCTCTTAGGGATGAGCAGCGCTTCTGGCAACAGGTCATCGCGGATGTCCAGAAACTCGTTTGCAGCTGCATGACAAACATCCGGACTTTGTCCGAACATCCATCCGGACCATGACCTGGAAACACTGAGCAACGGACCAGAACAGAAGATGAAAGAAGCCCCTTGGAGACTTTTCATGGGTTCTGAAGCTTTGAGGTCTTCCCAACCATGGTCTTTCTCTCTTCTCCCTGACCTTCAGCCAGCCAGCCAGTGAAACGGCACCCGGAGAGCTTGAGCTCGACCTACACCCTTAGCTCTTCGGATGTCCAGACAGGAACCCCGGTCCAACACCCGCTGAGCTTGTCGACGGCACGGCACTGGCCTTCTACCGGCGACACCAAGGCGCTTGGCCCACTTCGGCGAGCTCTCGGGCTCCTGGCCCCGCAGCCGCGTGGTGTGCGGCGTGGCCGACGAAGTGCACCTCAGGCGATGTCGGACGACACCGCCGGGGGGACCGTGACCGCCACCGGCGAGACCGAGACCGATAGACCTGACCTTTTCTTGGTTGCTATAGCAATGACCTCCAAGCTACTAGCAATGCCACCGTAGTTTCTAGCTACTAGTAGCTTACTAGTAGCTTACTGGCCTCCAGAAGCGATGGCCTCTGTAGCCTAAGAGCGATGGCCTCCAACCTGCCTTTAAGAGCTGGCCGAAGGAAGCATGAGAGAGGTCCCAAACCCCCAGGTAAACAGTCGACTGAGAGTGAATAGTGTCAAGCCCAACCACAACTATTTGGGAACTAGCAGTAGTAGTCTTAGTAGTTTTGGTAGTCGTAGTGGTGGTATGGGAGTAGTAGTATAGTAGTAGTAGTAGTAGTAGTAGTAGTAGTAGTAGTAGTAGTAGTAGTA